ATGAGCGCCGGAATTCTACCCACACATAATGTACACACAATCGCTTGCGCGCTCAGACACACACAGACGGACACACGCGCGTACACACACACAAACACACACACAAACACACACACACATATATATATATGTATGTATGTATGTATGTAGAGAGAGGGAGGGAGGAGGAGGAGTGAGAGAGAAATATTATGCATGTATGTATGAAATAATTTTAAAAGTATAACAAGATAGATAGACAGATAGATAGATAGATAGATAGATAGATTTAACTAAGTGGAAAAAGGCTAGGACCTACCCATTTTCCATAATGATTATTCTGCCACTGAAATAGTGACTTCGGAAATTGGGTTGTGTCCGGAACTTTTCAGCAGCTTAACTTATATATATATATAAATATATATATATAGAATTAACGAATATTTTTATTCAGTTTGAACTCATAAATTCAAGCATCTACAAATATATATATATACATATATATATATATATATATATATATATATATATATATTTGTTACTCACTGTCAATTTACTAACATTTCATTTATCTTTGGACTCTAGCATATGTTTGGAAATACCTTTCATCTATATCTACATGCAATCAGATGATTCTATAGACAAATAGATTTTTTTTTCTTACGAGGTGAGTAGTTCTACGGAAATGCATCTCTGCTTCATTTGGAAAGAAGGACCTAAACCCATAAAGCTTTACTTTTTTCTTTATTAAAGAATCTTTTCAGTGTTAATGTGTAATGTTCGCTGTCCCTTGGCAGATTATAAATTAGTTTTCATAGAAGACATAAACACGGACCTATGTGTATGCTGATCATTTTCATCAAGTTTATTATTAAAGCCAGGGAAAGATTAACAAATAACAAAGTTAAAAGTATCCATTTCCAACATGATATTTCTTTAAGAAAAACAAATCCCAGAGTGAGAATATTTTTTATTTGCTCAATCATTTATTCACTCGCAAATATATATATATATATATATATATATATATATATATATATATATACATTCAGTCAAGGAAATGAATATGGTATAGTTAGATAGAAAACGTTGCTATACCAGCGTGTGTTTAAATGAGTATTTGCCTTCTCATAAATATTTCTGCTTACAGGACAAACACACACACATATATATATATATATATGTGTGTGTGTGTGTGTGTGTGTGTGTATGTGTGTGTGTGTGTGCGCGCGCGTGTGTGTGTGTGTGTATAATTCACTTTACAAAATACATTTTTTGACAAAAAGTAACGGCTTAAATTAATACAACTTTCAGAAAACGAACATGTAGGGGAATTTAAGATATAAAATAATTCAAACAATATTTAG